CGAATAGAAAGTAGAGGGTATTCGAGAACTGATTCCAAAAACACAAAGATGTATTGGGTGATGGTAATGGATGGATAAGAACAGGAAAGGACAAGGTGTAACATGGACAGAACGTGTATTGTAACACTGCAAACAACCACAAAAGAAGGGATGTGTAGGAAAAAACATTTGAGATGACATCAATAATTGATCATGCCCCCACGATTGGTCAAACATTCTTTTATACGGCGTGACATGGTCCGAGTCCATCTCGAATAGATAATATGAGGGAGTCTCCTCCACTCCTCTCTGGCTAACGCAGAGGGTGGCCTTTGACGTCGGCGTACACGCCTCCCTTGGGCTAACGTAGAGGGTGGCATTTGACTTCGGCGTACACGTCTCCCTTGGGCTAACGTAAAGGTCGGCCTTTGACGTCGGCGTACACGTCTCCCTTGGGCTAACGTAGAGGGTGGCATTTGACGTCGGCGTACACGTCCCCCTTGGGCTAACGTAGAGGTCGGCCTTTGACGTCGGCGTACACGTCTCCCTTGGGCTAACGCAGAGGGTGGCCTTTGACGTTGGCGTACACGTCTCCCTTGGGCTAACGTAGAGGGTGGCCTTTGACGTCGGCGTACACGCCCCCCCTGGGCTAACGTAGAGATCGGCCTTTGACGTCGGCGTACACGTCTCCCTTGGGCTAACGTAGAGCCTGGCCTTTGACGTCGGCGTACACGTCTCCCTTGGGCTAACGTAGAGATCGGCCTTTGACGTCGGCGTACTCGTCTCCTTTGGGCTAACGTAGAGGGTGGCCTTTGACGTCGGCGTACACGTCTCCCTTGGGCTAACGTAGAGATCGGCCTTTGACGTCGGCGTACTCGTCTCCTTTGGGCTAACGTAGAGGGTGGCCTTTGACGTCGGCGTACACGTCTCCCTTGGGCTAACGTAGAGGGTGGCCTTTGACGTCGGCGTACACGTCCCCCTTGGGCTAACGTAGAGGGTGGCCTTTGACGTCGGCGTACACGTCCCCCTTGGGCTAACGTAGAGGGTGGCCTTTGACGTCGGCGTACACGTCTCCCTTGGGCTAACGTAGAGGGTGGCCTTTGACGTCGGCGTACACGTCTCCCTTGGGCTAACGTAGAGATCGGCCTTTGACGTCGGCGTACACGTCTCCCTTGGGCTAACGTAGAGGTGGCCTTTGACGTCGGCGTACACGTCTCCCTTGGGCTAACGTAGAGGTGGCCTTTGACGTCGGCGTACACGTCTCCCTTGGGCTAACGTAGAGGGTGGCCTTTGACGTCGGCGTACACGCCTCCCTTGGGCTAACGTAGAGGGTGGCCTTTGACGTCGGCGTACACGTCTCCCTTGGGCTAACGTAGAGGGTGGCCTTTGACGTCGGCGTACACGTCTCCCGATCATTTCCCAGGAGTGCTCCATGGGGGAAAGGTCGGGAGTCATGGCTGGCCATTGCATTCTGCTTGAGAACGTGCAGTTTGGATACGATTGTCTTAAAAGACAAAACGTGAACCAGCATGGCAGTCAAAGGGCACAACTATCGGCGGCAGTGCGTTTGTCTCGGTATTACTGTCCCGTGACCGTAACATGCTTATATCAGTGATATAGCAACCCCATCATTCTTCTTGTTCGTTAATTGGTCACTATGTCCTTGTAGGAGTAATGTCACTATGTCCTTGTGGGAGTAATGTCACTATGACCTTGCAGGAGTAATGTCACTATGTCCTTGTAGGAGTAATGTCACTATGTCCTTGTAGGAGTAATGTCACTATGTCCTTGTAGGAGTAATGTCACTATGTCCTTGTAGGTGTAGTGTCACCATGTCCTTGTAGGAGTAGTGTCACTATGTCCTTGTGGGAGTAGTGTCACTATGTCCTTGTGGGAGTAGTGTCACTATGTCCTTGTGGGAGTAATGTCACTATGTCCTTGTGGGAGTAGTGTCACTATGTCCTTGTGGGAGTAGTGTCACTATGTCCTTGTGGGAGTAGTGTCACTATGTCCTTGTAGGAGTTATGTTACTATATCCTTGTCACTATGTCCTTGTAGGTGTAGTGTCACTATGTCCTTGTAGGTGTAGTGTCACTATGTCCTTGTAGGAGTAGTGTCACTATGTCCTTGTGGGAGTAGTGTCACTATGTCCTTGTAGGAGTTATGTTACTATATCCTTGTCACTATGTCCTTGTAGGAGTAGTGTCACTATGTCCTTGTAGGAGTAGTGTCACTATGTCCTTGTAGGAGTAGTGTCACCATGTCTTTGCAGGAGTAATATCACCATGTCTTTGAAGGAGTAATGTCACTATGTCCTTGTAGGTGTAGTGTCACTATGTCCTTGTAGGAGTAGTGTCACTATGTCCTTGTGGGAGTAGTGTCACTATGTCCTTGTGGGAGTAGTGTCACTATGTCCTTGTGGGAGTAATGTCACTATGTCCTTGTGGGAGTAGTGTCACTATGTCCTTGTGGGAGTAGTGTCACTATGTCCTTGTGGGAGTAGTGTCACTATGTCCTTGTGGGAGTAGTGTCACTATGTCCTTGTAGGAGTTATGTTACTATATCCTTGTCACTATGTCCTTGTAGGTGTAGTGTCACTATGTCCTTGTAGGTGTAGTGTCACTATGTCCTTGTAGGAGTAGTGTCACTATGTCCTTGTGGGAGTAGTGTCACTATGTCCTTGTAGGAGTTATGTTACTATATCCTTGTCACTATGTCCTTGTAGGAGTAGTGTCACTATGTCCTTGTAGGAGTAGTGTCACCATGTCTTTGAAGGAGTAATGTCACCATGTCCTTGTAGGTGTAGTGTCACTATGTCCTTGTAGAAGTAGTGTCACTATGTCCTTGTAGGAGTAGTGTCACTATGTGCTTGTGGGAGTAGTGTCACTATGTCCTTGTAGGAGTAGTGTCACTATGTCCTTGTAGGAGTAATGTCACTGTATCGTTGTGGAAGTACTGTCACTATGTCCTTGTAGGAGTAATGTCACTATGTCCTTGTAGGAGTTATGTTACTATATCCTTGTCACTATGTCCTTGTAGGAGTAGTGTCACTATGTCCTTGTAGGAGTTATGTTACTATATCCTTGTCACTATGTCCTTGTAGGTGTAGTGTCACTATGTCCTTGTAGGAGTAGTGTCACTATGTCCTTGTGGGAGTAGTGTCACTATGTCCTTGTGGGAGTAGTGTCACTATGTCCTTGTAGGAGTTATGTTACTATATCCTTGTCACTATGTCCTTGTAGGAGTAGTGTCACTATGTCCTTGTAGGAGTAGTGTCACCATGTCTTTGAAGGAGTAATGTCACCATGTCCTTGTAGGTGTAGTGTCACTATGTCCTTGTAGGAGTAGTGTCACTATGTCCTTGTAGGAGTAGTGTCACTATGTCCTTGTAGGAGTAGTGTCACCATGTCTTTGAAGGAGTAATGTCACCATGTCCTTGTAGGTGTAGTGTCACTATGTCCTTGTAGAAGTAGTGTCACTATGTCCTTGTAGGAGTAGTGTCACTATGTCCTTGTAGGAGTAGTGTCACTATGTCCTTGTAGGAGTAATGTCACTGTATCGTTGTGGAAGTACTGTCACTATGTCCTTGTAGGAGTAATGTCACTATGTCCTTGTAGGAGTAGTTTCACTATGACCTTGTAGGAGTAATGTCACTGTATCGTTGTGGAAGTAATGTCACTATGGCCTTGTAGGAGTAATGTTACTATATCCTTGTCACTATGTCCTTGTAGGAGAAATGTCACTATGGCCTTGTAGGAGTAATGTCACTGTATCCTTGCAGGAGTAATGTCACTATGTCCTTGTAGGAGTAATGTCACTGTATCGTTGTGGAAGTAATGTCACTATGGCCTTGTAGGAGTAATGTCACCATGTCCTTGTAGGTGTAGTGTCACTATGTCCTTGTAGGAGTAATGTCACTGTATCGTTGTGGAAGTAATGTCACTATGGCCTTGTAGGAGTAATGTCACCATGTCCTTGTAGGTGTAGTGTCACAATGTCCTTGTAGGAGTAGTGTCATTATGTCCTTGTAGGAGTTATGTTACTATATCCTTGTCACTATGTCCTTGTAGGAGAAATGTCACTATGTCCTTGTAGGAGTAATGTCACTGTATTGTTGTGGAAGTAATGTCACCATGGCCTTGTAGGAGTAATGTCACTATGGCCTTGTAGGAGTAATGTCACTATGGCCTTGTAGGAGTAGTGTCACTATGTCCTTGTAGGAGTTATGTTACTATATCCTTGTCACTATGTCCTTGTAGGAGTAGTGTCACTATGTCCTTGTAGGAGTAATGTCACTGTATCGTTGTGGAAGTAATGTCACTATGGCCTTGTAGGAGTAATGTCACCATGTCCTTGTAGGTGTAGTGTCACTATGTCCTTGTAGGAGTAATGTCACTGTATCGTTGTGGAAGTAATGTCACAATGGCCTTGTAGGAGTAATGTCACTATGGCCTTGTAGGAGTAATGTCAGTTAGACATCTTCATTGCCTCGTATGGGAGAAATACAGGTGCCCGGCTGGTTAGACAATGTTTCAGAAGCTTGACGTTTACCCCCATGCTAACATTGGTATATGCTGGACAATGATCCTTAGTTCGTTGGTTCGAATCTCAGATTAGCACTGATTATGACCCTTGGTTTGTTGTAAACGTCTATGACTAGCGTTATTCAGACCGTTCCTCTTCGCGATATAATACTACGAATAACATCACTAAGAGATCTCACCCGTGATGATCCGGGTTAGAACTGATGTTCAGCATCTCATACTTGTCGTAAGAGGCGACTACCAGTATTTATATAACGGGGTCGGGATGGGATGATCAGGCTCGCTGACTTGGTTGATGCGTGTCATCTTTTGATAGCTGTGTAGATCGATGCTCATGCTGTCAATCATTGAAATGTCTGGTCCAGAGTACTTACAGACCTCCGACATAAAGCTAGTATAGTGCTAAATGGGGCGTTACTCAAAACTCAATCAAACTAAGAGAATAAACATGGAAAGCAAAACAGTGAACACAGAATACTAATTTTACAAAGCATGCTTTATTGATTTAATTGCATTAATCTGGACGTTTTCATGGTGGAATGCCAGTACCGTCAGTCTGAAAAATAAGTATCAAATGCACATTCTATATACGGCAATAAAAGCGACAAAATATTTCAATAATCAAAAGAAATCTTTGCTAAAAGCATAATCTATTGTACGATTCAGACTATAGCATGTGTTTATGAATCACTATCAAATAGCGATGTTACCAGGTGAACAGGTGAGCGTATCCTGCACCACGGTGGCACCCGTCACAAACACATGCAAAGGCGTGTCAAGTGTTCACCGGAAAAAAATCACGTGAACATATTGTACAAGTCAAAACGTGAGGGAATAGAGGGAAAATGCACCTGTGGGCGAGTGCTGTCCCCGTGTAATTGTGTGCGAGTAGTGTCACCATGTACTTCTGAGTGTGTAGTGTCACCGTGCTCTTATAGGCGAGTAGTGTCACCATGCTATTATAGCAAGTAGTGTCACCATGCTCTTATAGGCGAGTAGTGTCACCAAGTATTTGCGGGTAAGTAGTGTCACCATGCTGTTATAGGCGAGTAGTGTCACCAAGTATTTGTGGGTAAGTAGTGTCACCATGCTGTTATAGGCGAGTAGTGTCACCATGCTCTTATAGGCGAGTAGTGTCACCAAGTATTTGCGGGTAAGTAGTGTCACCATGCTGTTATAGGCGGGTAGTGTCACCAAGTATTTGTGGGTAAGTAGTGTCATCATGCCCCTATAGGCGAGTAGTGTCCCAAAGTATTTGTGGGCGAGGAGTGTCACCATGCTCTTATAAGCGAGTATTGTCACCATTGTTTTGTGAGTAAGTAGTGTCACCGTGCTCTTAAAGGCGTGTAGTGTCACCATGCTCTTATAGGCGAGTAGTGTCACCAAGTATTTGTGGGCGAGTAGTGTTACCATGCTTTTAAAGGCGTGTAGTGTCACCATGCTCTCAAAGGCGAGTATTGTCACCATGCTCTAATAGGCGAGTAGTGTCCAAAAGTATTTGTGGGCGAGGAGTGTCACCATGCTCTTAAAGGCGTGTAGTGTCATCATGCTCTTATAGGCGAGTAGTGTCACCAAATATTTGTGGGCGAGTAGTGTCATCATGTTCTTATAGACGAGTAGTGTCACCATGTATATGTGGGCGAGTAGTGTCACCATGCTCTTGTAGGCGAGTAGTGTCACCAAGTATTTGTGGGCGAGTAGTGTCACTATGCTCTTATAGGCGAGTAGTGTCACCAAATATTTGTGGGCGAGTAGTGTCATCATGTTCTTATAGACGAGTAGTGTCACCATGTATTTGTGGGCGAGTAGTGTCACCATGCTCTTGTAGGCGAGTAGTGTCACCAAGTATTTGTGAGTAAGAAGTTGAAAATGATTACCTTAACCTGTGGTAGGAGCTGGGGTAGGAGCTGGGGTAGGAGCAGGGGTAGGAGCAGGGGTAGGAGCAGGGGTAGGAGCTGGGGTAGGAGCTGGGGTAGGAGCTGGGGTAGGAGCTGGGGTAGGAGCAGGGGTAGGAGCAGGGGTAGGAGCTGGGGTAGGAGCTGGGGTAGGAGCAGGGGTAGGAGCTGGGGTAGGAGCTGGGGTAGGAGCTGGGGTAGTATCGGAGCTGCTATCGGAGCTGCTGCTAGAGCTACCACTGGAGCTGCTGCTGGAGCTACTGCTGGAGCTGCTGCTGGAGCTGCTGCTGGAGCTGCTATCGGAACTGCTACTGGAACTAGACGGTGCTGGGGTAGGAGCTGGGGTAGGAGCTGGGGTAGGAGCTGGGGTAGTATCGGAGCTGCTGCTGGAGCTACCACTGGAGCTGCCGCTGGAGCTGCTACCGGAACTTGAACGTGCTATCAGACCTGAAAGTGGATATTAACAGGCCATATTATCCTCAGTTCTTTCAGTAAAATTGCTTGCAGTGATATGCGACTATGCTTGTCGTAAGAGGCTCGCTGACTTGGTTGATGCAGGTCATATTATACCAATTGCGTGGATCTATGCTCATGATGTCAATCACTGGATTGTCTGGTCCAGACTCGATTATTTACAGACCGTCGTCATACAGCTTGAATATTGCTGAGTGCTAACTTTGCATGTGTTTGTGACGGATGCCACCGGTAGGGCAGTTGTACTTTGTTTTACTGAAAACAAAAGGGATGAGGGAAAAACAGTTTGCATTTACTTTTCTCACCAAGAATACTAACTGGGCACAAATTGTCAGTTTCCATGCGCCAGGAATAAGCTAGGCAGAGTAAATTTGTTATCTTTCAGCATCTTTTAGTATGACACGAGTGGGATCGAACCACCGACTTTCGGCTCTCTGGGCAGGCGCTCTATCTACTACACCACGGAGGCGTTCCGTAATAGGCATAGGGATGTAGCACCAAGCATATAACATCAACGCCACTGAATAACCAGTCTCGATTCCCCGACGGAACAGATTCCACTGGGCGTTAAAAACAAAATAACGGCGAAAATTAGTACACGCAAATTCAACAAGTGATTACAGATACACTATCACTCGTCATTGATACAGGCATGTAATGTCCAAGCAAGTTATTTCATAATACAACAGTTGCATCATCACTCGTAATAGACAGAGAGATATAAAACCAAGTAGGTTCAGTCATGATACAAGTGTTAAATTATCGCTTGTAATAGACACAGGGATGTAAAACCAAGAAGGTTCAGTCATGATACAAGTGTTAAATTATCGCTTGTAATAGACACAGGGATGTAAAACCAAGTAGGTTCAGTCATGATACAAGAGTTAAATTATCACTCGTAATAGACAGAGGGATATGAAACCAAGTAGGTTCAGTCATGATACAAGTGTTAAATTATCGCTTGTAATAGACACAGGGATGTAAAACCAAGTAGGTTCAGTCATGATACAAGTGTTAAACTATCGCTTGTAATAGACACAGGGATGTAAAACCAAGTAGGTTCAGTCATGATACAAGAGTTAAAGAGTTAAATTATCACTCGTAATAGACAGAGGGATATGAAACCAAGTAGGTTCAGTCATGATACAAGAGTTAAATTATCACTCGTAATAGACAGAGGGATATGAAACCAAGCAGGTTCAGTCATGATACAAGTGTTAAATTATCGCTTGTGATAGACACAGGGATGTAAAACCAAGTAGGTTCAGTCATGATACAAGAGTTAAATTATCACTCGTAAAGGACACAGGGAGGGTAAAACCAACAGGTTCAGTCATGATACAAGAGTTAAATTATCGCTCGTAATAGACAGAGGGATATAAAACCAACAGGTTCAGTCATGATACAAGAGTTAAATTATCGCTCGCATTAGACAGAGGGATATAAAACCAAGTAGGTTCAGTCATGATACAAGAGTTAAATTATCACTCGTAAAGGACACAGGGATATAAAACCAAGTAGGTTCAGTCATGATACAAGAGTTAAATTATCGCTCGTAATAGACAGAGGGATATAAAACCAAGTAGGTTCAGTCATGATACAAGTGTTAAATTATCGCTCGCATTAGACAGAGGGATATATAACCAACAGGTTTTATCAACCAGTATCGATTATTTCCATTAGGCGTAAAAGTCAAAATGCTTGTGAAAATTCATTCAAACAACTTCTGCCATGATGCAACAAAAACACAAAGACTCGCCCTTCATATTGGAGTGTAAAACCGAGCTGGTGTGAGAGAATACAGAAGATTCACACTGTCAATCGTGACCTTAAGCCAAACTAAACAGAACGATCAAACAACAAATACACTATCAACCACAACAAGGCAAAGGGTCTCATGCTTAGTACTGCCATAATATAATATATAAATAAATGTTCTTCGGTAATCGTCAGCAACTGATGCATGGTTTAAAGAGTTATAGATAAAGCAGTTTCTGCTGTATTCTGCGGTCAATTTTTTTGTAAATTCTGCAAACAAATTTGGATAATGCTGCACCTAATTCAGAAAAAAACGTTTGAGCTTGGTTTTCACGAATTTCATATTTTGGCACCTGTTTGACTTGTGGTGGACATTTTATGATAAACATATCCACGGCTAGAACAGTTTGTTGACGTGAATCTGGAGATCACAAGTGTAACCATAAAGATTTGCACGTCCGGTAAGCAACACTACAAAACAAAATAGATATCCGTTTACACTTTTAAAACAAGCTTCTGATTCACATGTTTACTTTCTGCACGGCATTTGAACTCTGCGGCAGATTAATGCAAAATTCTGAACGAGTTCTTCCCAAAATGTGATCTTCTGCACGATAGGTACATTTCTGCACCGAGTTGACATTTCTACAAAATATTCCACGACCGAGGAATCTGGGAATACATTGGAGACTGATAAAGAAGCAAGTGCCACCCTGATACAGGGACATACTAACCAGCAGAAGAGGATGCGGCCACGAAGAACACCAGGAGCAGCGCAATGAGACACACGACTTTCGTCATCTGAAGAGAACAGTTGAAACATATATTATTCCAGAATTACACCACCATTGTTTCTTGTCAAATAACATCATGATGGTTTGAGTGATAACAGGTGATAGTTCACATACACTACGTGTATGTACAATAAACATTGTTCTCATTAAATGCACAAACAATGAACTTGGATGTAACATTGTTCTCATGAAACGTACAAACAATGAACCTGGATGTAACATTCTTCTCATGAAACATACAAACAATGAACCTGGATGTAACATTCTTCTCATGAAACGTACAAACAATGAACCTGGATGTAACATTCTTCTCATGAAACGTACAAACAATAAACTTGGTTGTAACATTCTTCTCATGAAACGTACAAACAATGAACTTGGTTGCAACATTGTTCTCAGGAAATGTACAAACAATGAACTTGGTTGCTACATTGTTCCGATGAAATGCACAAACAATGAACTTGGATGTAACATTGTTCTCATGAAATGCACAAACAATGAACTTGGATGTAACATTGTTCTCATGAAATGTACAAACAATGAACTTAGTTGCAACATTGTTGTTTGTTTGTTTGTTGTTTAACACCGCACTCAGCAATATTCAAGATACATGTATATGACGGCGGTCAGTAAATCATCGAATCTAGACCAGACAATCCAGTGATTGACATCATGAGCATCGATCCAATTGAGATCGATGTCATGCATCAACCAAGTCAGCGAGCCTGACCACCCGATCCCTTTAGTAGCCTCTTACGACAAGCAAAGTTGCCGTTTACGGCAAGAATGGGTTGCTGAAGACGTATTCTACTCCGGATCGTCACGGGTCTAAAAGAGTCAGTTTTCTAAATCAATATTGATCACTATTGAACTATTACCGGATGATCAACTGCCATGTTCAAGTGCGTTTATTACGCAAAGATAATAATTATCCATAAGCCGAGTGTGTGTTCGGTGTGTGTGTGTGTGTGTGTGTGTGTGTGTGTGTGTGTGTGTGTGTGTGTGTGTGTGTGTGTGTGTGTGTGTGTGTGTGTGTGTGTGTGTGTGTGTGTGTGTGTGTGTGTGTGTGTGTGTGTGTCTGTGTCTCTGTGTGTGTCTGTGTGTGTGCTTGTACTAGTCCGGACTGATGCCGATTTTATAGTGCTAGCGGCCCCACTCAGACTCCGAGCCGACATGTCCTTGTTTTAGCCCCTTATTGCCGAGCGCCAGTCAGGGTATACAAGTGCCACCATTTAAACGTATTTTGGTATGACGCAGCCGGTGATCGAACCCTGGACCTTCTGCTACCCGGGCGGACGCTCTACCACCAGACCACGGCGACTGTTTGTTCTGGTATTAACTGGGCATGTTATTCAGATTACATGGTATTCAGAGTGTGTGCTAAGTTATGTCACACATTTACATATTTTTGGGTTTACACATAATTATTTCTCACTATTTTTACGACTGATCTTGTTACATACACATTTTGTTTGTCCACCTTCTACAAAGCATATTTAAACTACATGTAAACTTGACTTATGCGACACATGACGTATGCAAAGTTCGCTGAGGTTGTGTTCAGTACAGATTATTCTCTGATGCACTGATTATTCTTTGATATGTTATACACATTGTTATGCATTGATATGTTATACGACTACCATATTATTGGTACACCATATGATAACATTACCTTGGTAACCGAGTACACGACACTTATAAAGTTTCAACCAATACCTTTATGTATGACATGTATATTTGAGTATATAGGGAATCGTCCAATTCTCCATTAACCAAAACGTTTGGAGATCTTTTCCCACCCTACCCCATAGTCTTGTCTCAAACAGGCAATTGCTTGAAAGTAGTCAAAGATACAAATTCTTTCCATGTTCATAAGTATACTCTGCCCAAATCAGACAGTGAGGATACTAAGCGTCATCAAAAGATCTTACCAACATGAATTATTAACAATATAATATTGAAATTGAAGAACAATGTTTAGTGCTGTAAACGAATCTATTCAATGGAATACATTAAATCCCAGATATATATGTGGTGGCGAGCGTGATTTAGTTACCGAACTCCTTGATTGCCAAAGAGAATACAAGTTCAGTATTATCCGGGCATGTCAGCTACAGGTATATAAAGCTGTAAGAAAGACTACAGTGGCCGCTCTGTATGGTGCTGTCAGACCAAGGATACTTATCAGCACAAGGAGCATAACTTACAAAACGTATCACCACAGTTAGACTACAAATCACAACACATGCGTACTCACCTTGAACAGCATCTTGCTTAACCTTTAGGAAAGCATCTGATTTGAGATAGTCTCGGCCTGTTGAATTTATGCGAACATATTCATACCACGTGAACACTCCAAACATCTATTCTGCGCATTTGTCTACCAACAGATGTTTGATCAATTGAATACGTTTAGGCAATACACTTTTTTATGTTAGACAATCTGTTTAATATTCAGCGGCTATGTAGACGATTAAATAACACTTGAAACCTGTAACTCCAACTTGATAAGCATTAACGGGCAATGAAAGCAGGTGCAATAGCAAAATGTTTACAAACAGGTCCCCTAATGTCTCCTTTACTGTCTCTTTAGATGTATCCTATATCGATATTGACACCATATTGAAGTAATATGACTTTTTGTGACATCACATTTTTTCAGATTTCAATATTTCTGCTTTATCTGCTTTAAAGGTTTGGTTAGGTATAGTAGAGCCATAGAAATCATATTACATTTTTGTCTTTTATTTGACAGACAGACGCATGAATATTATGGACGGAACATTAAAGAAGAAAGGAAGAATAGTTCCATAATGCACTTACGCTGGACTCTAACGCGAGGTCTATATTAGACATGCCTGAAGCCACATGTAAATCTTGTCAAAAATGATAGCATATGTCATCTATAGTTTACTGAGGAAAGACGATGTGAAATGCTGGATTTCATCATAGATGATATGTGTGTGGAATTTGGGGGTAAGCCATTTTGGCAAGAAGAAGGCAAACCCACAGGCAGTTAAGGTTCTTCCCACCTTGCTGTACTGTTTCTTAGTGGATGTAAATCTGAATTTCTGCCCGCATTGGCAACATCGAAACAAGGTAATTTGGCCAAGACGTTTAACTTACGCTGCAGGTATATCGATGGTTTAATACTGTTTATTATGGTCAAATAGCCATTTCCCCTCCACTGATTTACCCACCTGAGCTAGAAATAAAAGAGATCAGCAAAACTGGATCATCTGTGTCATATTAAGAATATTGCATAACAACTAAGAATGACAACACATATCCACAAGACTATGACCAGAGAGAAGACTTCTACTTTCTAAAAGTCAACTTGCCCTTTAATGTCGAGACATATTCTAACAGCTTTATGTCTACATTCAATGAATGTTTAGATACAATCTTTCTACTAAGATTTCAAACGGTGTTATATAACTTGTTTGAGCGGGAGTACAACATTCAAGGCCTTTATAAAGCTTTCACAACATTTTATGGAACACGTGTGAAGGATAGGTGAACAATTGACTTGCCTTTGTACGTGTTTGTGACGGATGCCACCAGTTGGGCTTGATACGCTCACCTTTTTGCGAACACCTGCTGTCATCAGTATTTGATAGTATTTCATAAAAACATAATAATATTTTGGAACGAGTGATTTCTTTGGGGAAAAGGTCTTATGTGGCTTGTTCAGTGCCACTGTAAAGCTTTGCTCCAGATACGTTTGGGTGTAATTCTCCCAAGGTATTAATAAGAGCCAACTGCTTGAATTACACTGTAATTATAAGTGTTATAATGTTAGTTTTATAGAGATTGTATTTCCATGCCTAATTTAATATAACAACCACGGAGAAAGTCTGTTTCTGCAGTTGACCGTATATCTGCTTATAACATTCGATCATTTGCAAACAAGAGTGCTAGAATGTTATCCATTGCATCAGATACGACAATTCCATTTTCAATACTGGCTTTCATGGAGTCAACCAGTTCTTTGATGTATATTGAGAAAAGGACAGAGTTAAGTATACACCCTTCTCTGACACCGGTAGAGCAATCAAAGTAGTCAGATAGTTTTCTTTCTTGCTCAATACCGACAGCAAACTGAACGTTATCGTATAAACATTGAAGCACCTTGAAAATCTGTCCATGTATACCGTTCTCCAACAGAGAAGAAAACAACGTATTCATATCACCCATGTCAAATGCTTTATTTAATTCTTCGACAGCGCAGTAACATTTATCATTCTTCCGAGTGGTGTTTTTTAAAACCATAGACTGTAATATAAATATATTATTGGAAGTAGAGTGGTGTTTCCGAAAACCGTCTTGATATTCACCAGTAATATCAAAAGTTTGCTAAAGTCTTCATATCACTCACAAAAAGGAATGTAATGATTTTTCTTATTGTATTCAGTCATGAAATACGCCTGGCGTTGAAACGGTACAATAATAGTACCAGTCCCAGCATGTGGAGGCTGACCATATGCAGACCTCTGTGTGATATTTGTGTAAATAACAGAGCAAGGTACATGTGTATGGTGCGATGTTTTTCATTAATGTGTTTAAGGAATTCAAATGGGAGACCTTAATTTGACCGGGATTTATTCAACTTTAAAATATCTATCGCCGATAAAACTTCAGCAATAATAACAACATCAGATAAAAAATCACCTCACAAACAAGTGTCACATGTTTCTTTATTATGTTATAGCATATAGTTATCATACATCGTATCTCTATCTTTACTTATTGGAGCGTTCAATATTCCTTGTTGCACATCTCCGTGAATACACTTTAACACATTTCCCAAAATTCTTCAATCATTATTTTCTTTACAAAATTATTATAATATGAACTACAGTTATCCACTGCGTGGCAACTTCTGAAACGCTTCAATTGTTCATATTTAGCATTTTTAGCATTTTTACATTCACTGTTAAACCACTCTGTTTGTGTTCTTTTTGGGTTGCAATCTTTCCTAATCATAGAGTACCACACCACTGTAATGTTTTCGTTGAACCTATTTACAGTTTTGTTAATATCATTATACACATATCCCACAATTCATCAAAAGAATCCTCCACATGGCCAGACACAATGTCAGGGATATAATCATCTCTTGAGTTTCTACTTGTCCTGTAATCTCGTGGGAAAACGTGAATCGGAAGCATTGCATCCTGCTTCCAAGTCATGTTTATGTTGTAAGCGTATTAAAAACACCGATGGAAGATGGTCTGAATCAGTATGACATAAGATCGCATGATCTGAAACAGTAACAATTTTCAGGAATATATTTACAAAATTAGTCAGTCGTACTAAAGCCATTTGGATCAATGTATGGATAATCTCTGGGGGAATCCGACCACCTTCCATTCACAATGTGTATGTTAAATGATTTACATAGCTCCAGACAGCTGCTTGCCATGATTGATAACCTTATTGTCCTTGTTCATACAAGGGTTTGGCGTAAATTATGTTGCATCGTACAACCTCAGCAGTGACAACCTTGTCCCCAGCATCTCTATCAGCAGCAGAGTTAGCTGTGTTGCCTTTGGGGCACAAACAGGGAGCAGTATCAAAAACTTATTTACACATTGTTGATAACTAACAGAAACACATCGAGTCATTCGAGTCTGGGTGAACTTGTCTGAGAGTTCTTTATCAATATTATCAAATATATTATATATACCTCTATAACTATAGCTACCTAAGTGCTTTGTTTCTGAACGCACAGATTGAAAACATTTATAATTGGTAAGCATGTCATTCAAGTAAATGTTTAGCCAATGTTTGATTTAGTCAACTTATTTCGAAACATTCTGTCAACTTCATAGAAATGAGAGCTACTTAACATGCTGTATAACACATGGATGTTCCAACATAAGAGGGAGTTGGATCAATCTGAGGTAGAGGTGTCACGTGTCTGAGGCAGAGTCTCACTTCGAGTTCCAAGGTCAGGGTCGAGCTCCTATACAAAGTTGCTCGTGGCATCTCCTCTCAACTGGGTTCGTTTTCTACGACAAGCGTCCTCAAAGACTAAAGCTAACTTACTGATGGTTAGTCTAAGCATATATAAAGCATATATACCAGAAATGGCCGTGACTAGTTCGTTACATCGATCAGTTTGTTGTAAGCGTGTTCGTTATATACGTAGTATGTATTTTTTTGTTGTTATCTAACGTCACACTCCGTAATATCACAGCTATGTGACGATGGGTGTAAAAATCGAGTCTAGACCAGACAATCCAGTGATTGACGTCATGAGCATCATCCAGGCAATTTAGCTGGATGACATGCAATCAAACAAGTCACCGAGTGCGATCACCGATCCATTTAGAGACCTCTTACGACAAGCTGGTTCAATCAATACTCGAGATGTTGCTGTTGTAGATGATACTGTTGTAACAGTGTGACATTGTCTCCGTGTAATTGGGAGCCCCATCAACAAAGCAGCATTCGAACAGTTTTGTACGAAACTTGAGAGAACTGCCCATATGCCCGAGCCGATACTCTTTTACACCAACGTCAGCAGCGATTCAGAAAGTATTTTGAAAGCCGAATAAATTAAAATTGTGCATTCTATTTGTTCCTAATGGGTAATGCTGTTGACATAATTGATAAGTGAATGTATCGCAATACGCAGCAAGGATGATGTGGTGAAGTTGACATCAATGATTAGTGAGTATTAAACAATACACAGCAAGGATGATGTGGTGAAGTTGACATCAATGATAAATGAATATATCACAATACACAGAAAGGATGACTTGGTGAAGTTGACATCAATTATAAGTGAATATATCACAATACACAGCAAGAGTGGTGTGGTGAAGTTAACATCAATGATAAGTGAATATATCACAATACACAGCAAGGATGACGTGGTGAAGTTGACATCAATGACAAGTGAATATATCACAATACACAGCAAGGATGATGTGGTGAAGTTGACATCAATGATAAGTGAGTATAAAACAATACACAGCAAGGATGACGTGGTGAAGTTGACATCAATGATATGTGAACATATCACAATACACAGCAAGGATGACGTGGTGAAGTTTTCATCAATGATAAGTGAATATAAAACAATACACAGCAAGGATGATGTGGTGAAGTTGACATCAATGATAAGTGAATGTATCACAATACACAGCAAGGATGATGTGGTGAAGTTGACATCAATGACAAGTGAATATATCACAATACACAGCAAGGATGACGTGGTGAAGTTGACATCAATGATAAGTGAATATATCACAATACACAGCAAGGATGACGTGGTGAAGTTGACATCAATGACAAGTGACTATATCA